TTTTTTTTATGTTACACAAAAATCACTTATTCTCAAATTTTTCCCATCATAATAAATTACCCGAACTTCAAACTTATGTAGCACTAGCAAAATTTATTATTTTTTAATCTAACCCGATAAGTTTAAAAGCTCTTGATATGCTTTATTAAAATTATTGGTTAGAATTTTAAAATATTATTTTTTGCTAATGTGACATCTTTTTGAAAATGTCACATTATGACTATAAAATTGGGTTGGTTATAGAGGTACTGCACTGTATGTTTGCAAAAAAAAAATTTAAAAAATATCTTCACAATAAAATTTTAAGTTTAACCGATCAAAAATTAGCTAAGTTAAAAAAATCAGATTAATAAATTTACTTTATATATTGTGCATCATGTGACATATTTGAAAAAAAACTTTACGTTCCGTGCCTTATATAAGGGGAGTAACGTAAATTGACCCAAAATAGTAATTTTACATTACTAGCCAATTTTCGATTACTTACTTGCTACCTACCAATCTAATAATGCCTTAAGACTGTACCAATGATGATCTAATTTAGGCCTAAGGTTTGGGACATGGCTTGATTTGGTCTAGTATCACCTATTACAGGGCTCACCTGAGTGATACAAAATTTATGTACAACCATGTGACATCCAAAATTAGGCTTATAATGACTTATTTACTCCGATTTTCCGTAAATCCGGAAAAAACTTTTCTTTCCTTCCTAAATTTTCAAGATGACTTTACCTTATTTAACAGATGATTGTATTTTTTACATTTTACAACATCTTAAAAATAATCGTTCAAATTTATATAATTGTTTATTAGTTAATCGATTTTGGTGTAAATCAACGATTCCTTTACTTTATGCAAATCCTTTTTTACAAATAGAACTAATAAAAATTACTCAATAATCATGACCTTAATTTTTTGTTTTAATAAAGAAGAAATTTTACAATTGAAGAATAAATTAGAACAAAACCAAATTAATAATATTAATTTGGATGAAGAATATAAACCATTATTTGAATATCCGGAATATTTGGAAGACTATAATTATATTACAATAGATCACGTACTATATAAATATTGTTTAGGTTTATTGATTCCTCATAAAAAATTATATGATATTAAACCAATATTTCATCAATCAATTTTACGTCAAAGTAAAAATATCAAAAAATTGGATATTTCAACATTTTTATTTTATAGAGAATCATTTAAAAATTTTAATGTTCAAAATTTCACATCAAATTTAACGAGATTAAATTCATTATCATTAAATTTAAATGATACTAGTAATAATATTGAACAAGAATTTTTAAGCAATATGGCAACGATTAATTTGCAAGAATTAATAATTAATTTTTCCAGTCATGTGATCGTTATGGCTACCTTTGAAAAGCCTTGTAAAATTATTCAAGAGCAAAACAAACTTAAAAAATTTAAGATATTGAATTGTTATTCTTTATTAAATAATATTCTTTTGTCTTTAGAATTTCAAAAGAATTCTTTAGTTCAACTTGAATTTATAAATTCTAACTTTGATAATGCTAGTTTAAAAAGTTTTAATAATTTATATAATTTAAAGTATTTAAGTTTTACAACTTGTAAAGGTATATTATTAGATCAATGTGAGATTTTAAAATTTGTTCCATTTAAGCTCAAGGAATTATCATTTTTACGTAATAGTTGGGATGCTAATGTCACACCATTAATGATCAAATATTTAGGTTCATCATTACAAAGATTATTAATTAAAAATCCGACAATACTTTCTATTGAACATATATCAATGTATTGTTCAAATCTTATTTCTTTAAAAATAAGAATTGATATCCAGTTTAATTCTTCAGTGTTACCATTTTTTAGAAATTTAAGAACAAAGATATTAAATCTTAGTATTATTAAATATGATACTGAATTATTTATAAATTTATCAAATAATATACCTATTAATATTAGTAAAATTTCCATTAATTATTATAGTGCTAATAAGTATTTCAGATTTAAGGAATTTTTAGAAAATTGTCATAATAAGTTTGAAATAATTAATTTAAATTATATTGTTAATTCAAACTTTCTTAAAATTATTTTAAATTATATTGAAAGAAGTAATAATAGTAGTTTAAAAATTCTTGGTTTGAAGGATTTGGATGGAAGATTGAATGATGAGAAATCAATGTTATTGAATAGTATTAAAGCTAAAGGGATTAAATTAATGGAATTTCATAATTTAAATAATGATTGTGGAGGCATAAGTGGAGGCATATAATATTAGTATTAGAGTTTATAGGTTAATATTTAGCTTTAGGGTTTATTTTTTTATTTTTTTTTTATTTTCTTATAAATAAAGCCAAACATTTTAACATTTAAATATTAAAATACGTCCAACCAATAAACATTAGTTAAAAATTATGAAGTATTACAAGATGTTTTCTATTGATATAAGTGTAATTACTGATCACACTCATAAGCTATGAATAATAGTCTAATAGTGCATTAGACTATTATATAATTTAAATCATCCAATAATAATATTATCAGTTTGACGGGATCATTCATGCAATTTTTATAATAAACTCCGCTACTATCCAATAATTTTATTATTATGCTAATACATAGTAATATAACCTAAATAACAATTATGTAAAATCTGTATGAACTTATGAGGATGACTGATAATACTATTTAAATTACTTCTTACAAGGCCTATATTACAAAATTTTTTAATTTCACACTATTGTAAAATTGCGTAAAGTTCAAAATTAAAACTTGTTAAAAAATAAATAATACAAAATACTTTATGAATGACTCGCAGCAAAAAATATGTATAAAATATTTCGTACTATAATTGAATGATCGACGAACCTTTTTGAAAAACGTTATTAACATTTAAAATTTTTTCATTTAATTTAATTATTACTATTGTCGTAATTTTATCTCCATTTTGGACTCGAGTGTTTACTAGGTAAACGAGTATGTATTAAAACAGTGTTTTGATCAGGTAATAAAGGTTCCACAAAATAGACTTAGGTATGCTAACGTATGTACTGTAGTGCTGCATGCACCTTTAAAATAAGCATAGGACAAATGATTATTTTATTAAAATTATTCTTGTTAGTCTTATGAAAGGAAATTTCGTAAGTGAGAACATTTCTTTTTCTTAAAAAATATAGTAATGTTGCGTCTTCATACATAATTCTTAAATTATTAGTAATATAACCTGCTAAATTTTTAAAGAAATTCTTTTTACGTATAAAAGAATATTTTGGACAAAGAATTAAGAATTTGTCAATTTGTGATAAGTTTACGGCATGTTTGTTTAAATATTTGTAAAACAGGGGATACGTTTGTATTATTGTGTGACATATGCAGAAAATTTATCAAAAAAAATGTTATCCGGGGTACTCCTTGCTAAATTTATGATTTCATTTTAGTTTTTACGTTGCACAATAAGAAATATTTATTGATGACGATTGCTCCAAAATCTTTTTGTAACGTATATTACGATAAAATATTTTCTCTCATTTTGCTAACTTAAACAAATAAAATGAGAGATTTTTTAGTCTATTATTATTAAAATATAAAAAGTATTTTATCACATGGATATTAATAACATACTTTCGTAAAGAATGAAGTTCATAGGTTGCAATTTAATAATGATATAATTGATCCAGCAACGAATGAAATTTGGAATTTACGTTTGACAACCTCACAATAAGGTCAAAATTTTAAATTTTTTTGAAATTTTTTTTTAATTACCACCTATTTTAACAAACTGAAATGATTGTTCGCAAGATAAAGAACTCAAGTTAATTATCTCAATTAATTAATTCATTCGAATGCTTCTTTTTTTCTGATTTTACTTATTAATAAAAAAACCAGTCTCAAGAAATAAATGTATTACACATAAGTCGCTAATAAACAATTTACTATATCTAAAATCACTTTTTTACATCATAAGATTTTAGGTATTACAATATGATAATTATGCTGATAAAAATGTGATTCGTCTATTTACTGATTATCAGCAAAGAGATTCAATAACTTAATAAAATAGACTATCAGACTTTTTATTTATAGGACGGACATTCGTAATAATTTGTCACATGATTTTAGAAAAAGTTAATCACAGTAACTGTTTCTAGAAATTCACTGTACACAAACTACTACAATCGACATAAAATTAATTGTGGCTTTTTTAAACTTTTTAAACTTTAAATTTATTTCTTTTACATTAAAAAAAAATAATGTCTTCAAAATTTTTAGCAGAATTATCTAGCGACTATGAAAAACTTTTTGAAACAGAAATTGGATATGATGTTATTATTTATGCTGGAGAAGGCCAAAATATGAAGGAAATTCATGCTCATTCAAATATTTTTTGTATTAGGTCTCAATATTTCCGTTCTGCATTTTCTAATGAATGGGCTGAGAAAAGAGATGGAAAATTTATTTTCAAAAAACCAAATATTTCACCTCAATTATTTAATATTATTCTTAGGTAATAATCTAATAATTTATATAATTTATATTTATGATAAATTTTTTTGTTCACATAATTACAATTTTTCTAACTATTAAATATATTAGGTTCATTTATTGTGGAAATATTGAATTAAAGAATTTACAAGGTCCTGATGTATTGAAGTTATTGATAGTTGTGGATGAACTAAATATCAATTCGTTAGTTTCCCATATTCAAGAATTTTTGATTGAACATAAAACTGAATTTTTACAACAAAATCCAACTGGAATTCTTGAAACCGTTTATCAACATGAAGCATTTACGGATTTATGGAATTTTTGTCTTGAAAATATTTGTGAAGAACCTAAAATTTTATTTAGCTCTGATAATTTCATTAATTTAAAAGCTCCTTTAATGGAATTATTATTAAAAAGGGATGACTTATATATGGATGAAATTGAAATTTGGGAAAATTTATTAAAATGGTGTTTTGCTCAACAAAATATGAAGAATGATCCGACAAAATGGAGTAAAGAAGATATTATAAGAGTCGAAAGAGAATTATACAGATTTATTCCTTTAATTCGATTTTATGATATTGAACCTACAGATTTCTTTTACAAAGTTTATTGTTACAAAGACGGTTTACCACAAGATTTAATTCATAATCTCTTAGAATTTCACGTAGTTCCTAATATAAAAACTAAAACTAATTTACCACCTTCAAGAAAACAAAATTTAAATAATTATCTCGATTCAACCTTGATTGAATCAAAACATATTCCTCTTTTTGCTTCATGGATTGATAGGAAAGATTCTTCACATCATAATAAGAAAAATATTCAATATGATTTTAAATTATTATATCGTTCAAGTCGGGATGGAATTGACACTAATACTTTTCATAAAAATTGTGACAATAAAGGAGCTACTATTTGGGTAGCAAAAATTGAAAATTCTACACAAATAATTGGAGGGTATAATCCACTTGATTGGAATGATGATGGCGTTTGGAAAAGTACAGAAAATAGTTTTATTTTTAATTTTACAAATGGAAAAAATATTTCTACTTCAAAAGTAAGTTATGTTAATAAAAAGAAGTATGCTGTTTATTGTTATGATACACATGGACCAACTATGGGTAATTTATACTGCTTTAAGAATAATTGGTCTAATAAACAGCGTCATTTTGGGATTTCTTATTATGACACAGGAATTCCAGAAGACTTTATAGTAGAAGATTATGAAGTATTTCAAATAATTAAAAAATAAGTTTTATGTATAAGTTATTTTAAGAAAGAGCGAATTATACGTCTTGCGGGTATTATATATAATTACGGTAATACTCATAACTCTGATACCGTTAATGAGTTTATACAATTAATACACCACAAATTACAAACAGTTCTTTCGAAGATAATTTTTTTAATAGACCAAACTTCTATGAAGACGAAAGTTTCCAATCTTTAGTTAGTATTACCTAATGGGTTGTTTAGGGTCCTTAAGATTTCTCAACCTCTGCGTGCGCATATTTCGAAATATGGATAAACTCTACCAATATATTCTGTTTACTTTAAATTATCTTTGGTATACCCTTTAGTCATTTCTTTGTAACTTATCCAATTTGATTACTCCCGGCATTTAATTAGAATATAATTTATGTAGATTAAATTCTTTTATTGTTGCTTAATAAATTATTTTCATTTTTTTAATTTTCATAAACTTAAATTAAATATAGTTTAGAATTCTGATCTAAAATACAACTCCAAACTTTGCTTTTCTTATTTATTTATATAAGTACTAACTACTAAGGGGATGGCCAGAAATGACGTCATTTCCTAAGGGAGACGCATGTCTGAAATCTGTGCCAGGTTACGCCGAGTTCAGTGATAAATAACAGGTAACAAATAAAAATTTTGGAACACAAAAAAAAACAAGTCCCTCAGATAAATAGTGTTTTTGGAACTCGGGCTTGCACGTGATCATGTGACGCTAAATGATGCTAAACATCACTCCTAAGCTAATATATTCGGCGTAACCTGGCACAGATTTTAGACCAGCAAGGGGGGACCACGATGATGTTACACACCTTCCATTTTTAGACACTTGTAGTTAATATAATTCTAGCCAGAATTATGTTTTAATCTTACATTTCCTAAAATGAATGATGACATAGGGAGGGGTCAAAAATCCTAAAATTTAAATTACGTCATTTCTGGCCATCCCCTAAACAATGACTTCGAAATTTTGGACAGAATTATCTAGCGACTATGAAAACTTTTTTAAGTTTTTTCAACTATTTTATTTTATTTTATTTATCACTTTCTAAATAAAAACAAAAAAATATTTTACCAAATAGGTAATAATTATTTGTTTATAAGTTTAAGCCCTTAATTTGATTGATGCTACGTACAGTATATAAATATTGCATTTTGCAATCAGTTCGATAAACTTCTTTTACATTTTGACACTTGAAATAATTTGAAATTAACTTCTGAAAAATCGGAAAAATTGGTTGTTTTTTTTAAAAAAAAAAATTGGTAAATCCGCCTAAAATTGGTTAAGAATTGGAAAGAGTCGGGTTGTTAAAAAATCGGAAAAGTTGGCTTGTTGTAAGTAAAATTGGTAAAATCCATTTAAAACTGAGTAAAATTAGGATATGGATTATTATTGCCAACCAATAGCAATTTTATGTCATGAACTATCATAACGCTTGATCCATTACAACGAGTTAAATATCTATCCAAGTAAATCAATTCATTAGTAATTAATAATAAATTAGTTAATAAACAATATAGTTATTATAAATATAAGATAAGATCAAAACTTATCTTGCAGATTCCATAATCACATACATATCGTCAAAAAAAAATTTTTTTTATTTGAGCACAAAGTTTAAATAGTATGCATAGCCCTATAAAAAATATTGTCCAAACATTGTTCATTTTTTGTTCGGAAAATCGACACATTTACTTGACGTTTATTGGACATTCATCATGATATTGTACGTTTTTTATGTGGTTAAAAATTCTCAATCTCCGCATCTTGTATTAAATTGTAACAAATATGTATATTACCGTGCGAGCGGAAATGCGCATATATTAAAAAATTCAATTTTTATCGGCATATGAAATCACATCATTTTTACAGTAAGTATTACGATATTTTCCGTTTTCGAGTTTTTAGCGCGACTCAAGTGAGAATAATCGAGATGATCTTCCGTTAAATGTTAAGCTTTATAAAGTCAAAGTCACAAGGACAATATGATTACTATTAAACATTTTGAGAAAATCCGAAAAAATTCAAATGTGAAAAAAATTTTTTTTTATTTATTTTATTTTATTTTTATTTTAATTTAAATAACTAGATTAATTTACGTCACAATATAAATAAATTTGCTTTGCGTATTTTAATTATCTAGCCAAATAGATAAATGAATCGGTGATTTATCACCATATTTTTATTTATTTATTTACTCCTATGAAAAATTTTATCCGTTATTTCAATAAAAATATTTTTAATAAGGTTATTAATTCCGGGAATATGAGCCTTCTATGGAGAAAAGATGGAATATAAAACGGATTAACTATTTTTACAGGGAAAATCTTTTTTTTTTTTTTTTTGTAGACAAAAACACAAGTTCCTTTATATTTTTATTCTTATGAAAAAGTAACTTGCCCGCCCAAAAAAAAAAAAGAAAAAATAAAAATAAAAACGAAGTAAAAATGGAAAAAAATATTTTTCGATAAAAATTTTTTTAGTATCTGAATAATTTTTTTTATAAATAATAATAATCGAAATTTTGACATATAAAGAAAATTTTTTGCTTAATTTTAAATCTTACAAACAAGGGGTTGAAATTTTTATACATAAATGTTTTACATTCTTGGGATATATCTTAAATTTTTTTTTGTTTGCATTTGTTTGTGTTCTTTTAATCATAAAGAAAATTGGTCAAATGAGTAAAAAAAAAAAAAAGAAAAATATTTATATGAACTATGACAATATTTGCGAAAAACGAATAATGAAAATAAAAAAATAAAAATAAAAAACGAAAATTTGTTGTTTTGTTCTATGCTTTTTACATTTAGAATATTTTGCCAAAAAATTGGCATCAAATCATCAGAATAAAATGATGCATTTAAATTCGTATTATGGGCAGACGACGTCTTCGTGTTTGTCAAGGAGGTGATCCATAAACTTCCTCGTGTTTCTTCTTAGTAGCTATGAGAGCTAATTTTTGACATTCCTCTCGTACCTCTTTTGATGCGTTCTTCCCAGCCGCAGCAGCGTTGGAAGTGACTTCCCTCATCCTTAAATCCCAATAACCTTTAGATTGCAGGACCTTGATGTATGCGATCCTGAATATTAAAAAATTATTTGGGGGCCTGGTCGGCATTTTCCCCCGTCTAGGTTTGGCCAACAAATCATCATCCTCTAATTTCAAAGGTAAGGATACTAAAATATTTTGAGGTATCACCGCGTTCTCATAGTAGTGAACGAAATCTAATTTCATGATTATGTATTATTATTATGAATGATTCTTTTATTTCTTTATAGTTAATTTTTTATTTATATTTTATTTGAGAGAAGGAAAATAATTTTTTTTTTTAATAGGGAAAATATATTTTTTATTTTAATTTTGAGAGGAAGTAATTTTCTTTTTTTTTTTGGTGTGAATTTGACGCTTTTTATATACAAAATTTTTTGGAAAATTTCACGTGACTTCAGTCACGTGTAGTGACTTGCAGATCAAATTGCAATATACCCTGCACAAATATTCTTCCTTACTGAACCTTTTATATAAAACTTTTTAAGAAAAAATAACTCTGAAATAATAATTGGCTATAATTCGTTAAGGTTATTAAAAAGGAAATCCGTTGAAAAATTGAGATAAAACACTTGTACTTTGCTGCGGAAGGTTCGCAATAAGTCTCAATGTGTTATTATTATTAATGAGTATGTTAGGTCGAAAATGTCTTCTTATAATTCTTTGTCTTCTTAGTTGTTTCTGTCTTTTTTGAGAAGGCATTTTCATTTGTATAACGTATATTAAAGAGGAGATAAAAATAATATGCGCATTTCTAAGGAGGAGATAGATACGAAAAAAACGACGTATTTATAACATTTAAATATTTAAAACTATATATAGATAATGACAGATAATCGACACAAATAAACATTCATCTATACATATTAGTGTATATAAAGTTATTTTTAATATGTTACTTGTAAATGGACAGATGGTGGTTGGTAAACTTGCATAATTTTGTATAATTGTGACCAAGGTTTACTTTCATGAAAGATGCTAACAGGATTATCTCCTTTTACATAATTGTTTATATAATAATCAATTATTATAGACGCAAAAACAACTAAACAATGCCCCGATCTTGAGTGTCCATTCACGTCTCTTCTGTTTTAAATACCAAAACGCCAACTGAGTTAGTAGATTATTTCTTTTATAAAAATTTTAATAATCATTTATGTAACAATAAATTATTATAGACGCAAAACAATTAAGCAATACCCCGATTTTAACGCGTCCATTCACATCTCTTCTCTTTTAAAATACTAAAATGCTGACAGAACTAGATTATTACTTTACAATAGTCATTATATAATAATAAAATTATAGGCACAAAAATTAAACAATGCCCCGACTCTAACGCCATTCACGCTATCAGAATCAAACAGATTATTTACTTTTACAAAAAATTTTAATAATCAATTTTGTACTAATAATAAAATCACAATTAAGCAATGCCCCGATCTTAACGCGTCCATTCACGTCTCTTCTCTTTTAAAATACTAAAATGCTGACAGAACTAGATTATTTCTTTTACAATAGTCATTATATAATAATAAAATTATAGGCACAAAAATTAAACAATGCCCCGACTCTAACGCCATTCACGCTATTAGAATCAAACAGATTATTTACTTTTACAAAAAATTTTAATAATCAATTTTGTACTAATAATAAAATCACAATTAAGCAATGCCCCGATCTTAACGCGTCCATTCACGTCTCTTCTCTTTTAAAATACTAAAATGCTGACAGAACTAGATTATTTATTTTACAATAGTCACTATATAATAATAAAATTATAGGCACAAAAATTAAACAATGCCCCGACTCTAACATTCACGCTATTAGAATCAAACAGATTATTTACTTTTACAAAAAATTTTAATAATCAATTTTGTACTAATAATAAAATCACAATTAAGCAATGCCCCGATCTTACCGCGTCCATTCACGTCTCTTCTCTTTTAAAATACTAAAATGCTGACAGAATTAGATTATTTCTTTTACAATAGCCATTATATAATAATAAAATTATAGGTACAAAAATTAAATAATTCCCCGACTCTAACACCATTCACGCTATCAGAATCAAACAGATTATTTCCTTTTACAAAAAATTTTAATAAACATTTTTGTATTAATAATAAAATCATAGGCGCAAAAACAATTAAGCAATGCCCCGATTTTCTAATAAGAAAGCATTCCCTCGCAAATTTCTGTTTCACGTGATTTTTTTTTTAAAAATTAAATTGATTTTCATTTTTTATCTCTTTTTTAGTCTCACTTTTCGAATGAAATTTAACCACAAATTCTGGTGAAATTTGTAAAATTTTTCTTGATTACACAAGGAATTGATATAAACACATTTTATTGCAACGTCAATCTTTTTTTCTACATACAGTACAAGCATACTATATGCTGTCATAATTATTGTGCCTTTTGAAAAAAAATCAGGAATTCGAACTAAAAAATCCCTATTCTCATTAAATATGAAATTAGAACCAAAGGGAATTTATATAATCCATTCAACCCAAAATTGTTTACAGCACTATGGTCTTTTGAGAAATGAAAAAAATCACGTGACCCTAGTAGTTACACGTGAATTAATAAATACGTTAGCCATTTGTGGCTTGCTAGTGTAACTTTCATTCAAAATACGTCACTTCCTTCACCATTACGAATTTGCAAAATTATTAATTATAATTTCATTTTAAAAGAAAGTCACAAATAAAACAAGATATATATATAAATCTTTATAATTGTATTAAAAATGATATTAAACGTACGGTCAATTAGCATAAGTAATGTAGCTAAAATAATGTCCTACGATTCGCTCATAACTAACCTTCATAACGTTAATGCAATGGCTAAGTTGTGTAAAGCTTTTAAAATTATTGCAAATTTGTCCTCTGGATTTAATTACAAAAACACAAATTAAGCGAAATTCTTACCAAAAAAAAAAAAAAAAATTAAAAATAATTTTAAATACGATCCTCCTTTGCAAGTATCAACATACGTCACCCATGCCGTACGTCACTATGCCGTCAATGCCGCAGTTAATATGCGTAGTAATAACTGTATAATATTGTACTAATGCAAATACAGACGTACCAATAAAAAAAAGAGAAGTCGGCTAAAATTATCATGCAGAATTTTGCATATAACATTATTACTTAGGAGATGATTTTCGTTTATAGAGCTTGTTATTATTAGAAAAAAATTAGAAAAAATTTCTGAAAGATTTATTATATTTATAATTATTAAAAAAAAAAATTGGAAAATTTTATTTATACTATACCTTAATACCTGTCATATGTATTATACCAATCTATTGTTATTATTGGAAAAAAAAATTAGAAAAAAAAATTCTGAAAGTTCTATACATCACTAAATTTTTAGGGTATTCAATATTGCACAAATAACAAATACTTAAATTTCACAAAATTTATGCAATATAGTTAACAATATTATATATGTAATTTTTTGTACAAATTTTTTACAATATATTACATAGAAAATTACTCAATAGTATATTATATATATTAAATGGGTCTGGTTAATCATATTACCGACAATCATTTTACCGACAAAATAATAATATAATTTTAAATATGTAATAAAATAAATAATATAGAAATAGTTATTTATTTATTTTGTTATTGTTTATTTATTATTATTTAAATAAAACTTTTATTATATTATTAATTGAAATAATATACAGTACATTATTATATTCAATTAGCATTTTGAAATACTCTAGGATGCTTACGAAAAAAGCAAATTATATAAACTAAATTAAGAAAATAATTAAGAACAATTCTAAGTACAATATATTATGAAGCTGAAATAAATTTTTTAAAAAATAAATTTGATAAAATTAAATATTAAATTCAAGCTATTTTATTATATATGTTATATATTAATCAATTTTTATTTTATATATTATGGTAAATTCTTTTATATTAAATATGTATTTTAATTTTCATAACTGAAGTGGGTAGTGAAACTGTAAGTGTTGATGGTAAAATGAGTGTCGGTAAAATGAATGTCTGTAAAATGTACCTGTCGGTAAAATGATTGTCGGTAATATGAGTGTCGGTAAAATGATTGTCGGTAATATGATTGTCGGTAATGTGAACGGGTCCTATATTAAATATGCAAATAATGTGCATTTTCAGGGTGTGCAAATCAGTTTTTTCCTACACGAAATTTTGCATATTTTCTACACGTAAAAAATTTCCTGATGTAGCGATCTACTGGCATTATTAAAATAGTAGTGACCTCAAGGACAGGACTGCGCACATGCCAATAGCCTCATAGGGAACGTTAGAAGGACACCATGACTCTTAGTTGAAATGTGCGGCCTAACCGTACACACTAATTCACCATGATGCAGTCCAACTACGCAAAATAAATCAGAAATTTTAAAATCTCAATAATCCAATATTCTGACAAGTATTTAGAAAAATTTCTGAAAGATTCTGTTATATCTATACAATCTATTTTATTAGAAAAAAAAAAATTTAGAAAAAATTACTGATCTATTGACATAATTAGCCTAGTCTAGTAAAATATTTACAATAAAATATATATAGAAAATTTTATCTGTCTTACGTATTATACCTATTATTAGAAAAAAATTTAAAAAAAATTCTGAAAGATTTTATTATTTATAACGATCTATTGGCATTATTAAAATAAAAATCGGAAAATTTTATTTATACAATAGTAGTTATTCATTATTTTATAGGATGAGGCACAAGAAAGTTTTAAATTTATTTATTTTGAAATTTTCTTCTGGATCGAAGTCACATGTTAAAAAATATGTTAATAGTAAATTAAAAGATCGGCAAATGTGCTATTAACCAAAAAAGATCTGCTAGTATGTAAAAAAGATCGACAGAGCTAATAATAAAACCTATTAACGAAAAAAGATCTGCTAATGAAAAAAGATGGTAAAGATGGTAATAAAAAAATACCAATCTTCTATTGAATAAAAAAGATCTGCTAATTTTAAATTAGAAAAATTGGTATTAAAAAAATAGCAAAGTTAGTATTTAAAAAATACCAATCTGTCTATTAACGTAAAAAGAAATTGCCAATTTAGGCAAAAATCTACCACTTACAGTAATTTTAAAATACATGAGTTGGTATTTAAAAAATAGCAGGAGTTGGGTATTTAAAAAATACCTATCTGCGCCATACCCTATAAAAAGATTTTTAATACCCATTTTTGGCGAAGTAAAATCAGATAAAATTCGGATAAAGCCGGCGCTAACTTTAAATATCATTGTTGACTGCCAATCATTCTCAAATCTGTTTAATGCGTGCATTAGAAAAAGTTTATTTATTATTGTATATGTTATAAAAATGTGGCGCGGTTTTGGACAAGCATTTTCTGATTAATAATCACGAATTCAATTTGGGCAAATAAAAGTACACTTTTTTATTTATTTATTTGTCATATATTCGGAGTATAATTATTCCTCAAACAAACATATTACCCGTAGTCTTGACAGATATACTATATAAATAAATTAACACGTAAATAACTAAAAAATAGGAGGTCTGCGAGATACATAATTGAATTTTATTTTCTTATGAAAGATATTTGGTTAGTTCGTTAAATTGCATTAATCAATGTTCCGTGTACGTGTAAGATTACTAAGACTTTATTTTTTGAATAAAAAAATAAAGAAAAAAGAAATAGATTTTTATACTCTTTATATATATTCCATAATTACTCATTAGGCGTAAAAATTAATCATAATAGTAAATAAAATCAATTGTAACGGATCTCAAAGTGAATCTAAACTATTTTTATATCCTTTATTTATTTTTTACTGTGCCTAACTGTGCCATGCCTTTTCTATTTGGAAATAAATGAATGAATTAGTAATACAAAATTTACGAATAGAATTTTCTTTAGAAAATAGAATTCTAGTAAACAATAATTTTTGGAAATTTCATTGTAATACATAATTTGTTCTGTTTTTTTTCGAAAAAAAGAAAAAGAGAAGCATCCTTTAGATTGCACAAAAGAATTCTTTACTTCCTTTTTCTTTGATTGTACAATGAAATTGATCTAAATTTCTTTAATATTGATGATGATAAAAGACGGAAAACAAAGACCGAAGACGCACACATGAGTCAGTCTTAAAAAAGCAAAATTGCGCAGTACGCAGAAATTCTGGGAACAATAAATATACTCTTTCTTCGCTATAATGTGGAAAAAAAAAGCTAAAATGGGAGGAAAAAAAGGTCCACTTTTCACTAAAGAGGTATGTTGAAGTAGTAATTAAAGGGAAATAACAATTTCTTTTTTTTTTAAAAAAAAAAAAACACTAAAATGTTCTTTTACAGGTCGATAATATTATTATAGAGTTAATGAAGAAATGTGGGAATCTACCTAAACCTTATGTAAAGGTTCGTGAAGCTATCCCACAATATACTTCAAAGCAAATACGTCAACGGTAAGTCATAAATATACAGTATTTCTGTATGTACAATATATATTTTGTTTTTAAGAATACTTACTAATTATTATTCATTATTCAGTTGGATCAGTCGACTCGATCCACGTCGTAAGTAAAAAATTAACTTTCGTTGTAATTTTAATCATTTTAATAATTTAATCTTGATGATTTCTTTTTTCTCTAATTCTAGTTTGTCGTAAATATCTTGATGATGATGAAAAATCATTTATCGTCCAATGGGTCGAACATAATCAAGAACCGAATGGTACAATTCATTGGAAGGATTTAATTAATGAAATTGAACATAAATTTGGAAATTTGCGCTCCGAAAATACAATTAAAAATTTTTGGAACCAAAGGAAAAGAAGGATTTTTAGAGATATATATTTAAATACATATAATAATTCTATAATTTTATTATAATCAATTTTATTATTTTTTTTATGTGAAATGATTCCTAGCGAAAAAATGAAATAGTTATGATGGAAAAACTAATCTTTTTTTTACGACTGGTGGAAATATGAATTTTATACATGGTCATCCGGCATTTAGATAATAACAGCCTAAATGATGAGGTTACGTTATTGATTGGTTAAGGAAAACGATATATTTTATTTATTTTAATAGTATTTAAATTAAAAATATGTGATAATACGCGTTATGTTCTAAAATACTTCATAGTGTATAGTTAAAATCATTTTACAAAATACCAAAATATTTTTTAAAGCTTATAAATTTTATATCCCAAATGTATGCGAAATAAAAATTGACAATTAACATGTAAAAATTTGTAAAAAAAAACAAAAAAAAAATATATTAAGTATTATGTATAAAATAAATCTTTAAATATTTGTTATAATGTCGACTTCAAAAAATAGGAACCACCAAAAATAATTAGACATTCGTGAAGGTTTAATATAAATTATCCTTTTATGTTAAGTATGTACAGAAAATTGGTATTACAGCCAGGGCATTTTTTCTTGGACTATATTGTAGATCATTTAGATCATTTAAGGTGAATACTCGGGAACGTGATTAAAGCAGACGATTGTTTTTAGAATTGAAGGAAATTCTAAATAGAAAGTCGTTCGAAATTGGTAAATATGAATAAAAACTTGAAATCTTCATGTCCGTTTATGTAAATTTTTATTTACACTATAAACTAAATCTTTCATTTTTCTCTCTGACACAAAAATATGAGTCTTGACGCCAAGTTGGGGTGTGCTGTAAGCAAAAATATATCTAGTAGTTATATTTAGTAAAATTTATTTACTATTGGATTTTTTCTTATATATATATATATATAATATATATATATTTGTGATTTAATTAATTTTCTAAGAAGTTTCCCATTCAAATTGATGCAATTCCCTACCTTAAACACTCTGAATTCTTTTCTCAATATTGTGAAAAATGTTCCAAACAATTACATCTTTCAGTAACAGAATGCTTTTTCCAATAAAAAAAGTATTCAAGTTTCAACAATAATACGTATAGTTTTTTCTTTAGTATTTTTTCGAAAAGAAGTGGTGTCATGTTATTAGATATTCTTTAACTTTTTAAATTTTTATTTGAATCCTAATTGGATGCAAAATTGTTAAAAGAGATTTTTTTTTAAAGAAAATTCCAGAACATAATTTTGAATTAATAAGTCAATAGTACGCCTCACCGCCTACGTGCATTAATCTTGACCCACTTGTATTCTATATAAAAAACAGTTAAAGTATTGTCAATCGTCACACAAGCCAGATTTAACATAGTTTTACCGATCTTCATTGGCTTAACCTTTTTTGTAATTTTTGTAAATTTAAAACGGTAGCATTAGTAATCAATTAATTTCAGTACGTCATTGTATAACGCATAATACGATTTATGCATGTATAGGCAAAATTATGTGCCGTAATTTATTATATCTATTTTTGTATTGAAATTAATTATGTTGAAAAAACCGAAATACTATAGTTTCGGTATTAAAATTTTCCGCAAAACTTCATTATTATATTACCAAAAAAGAAGAAGGGATTAAAACTTTCTGCAAGCGATTCGGTTTAGCGGCATAACATGGAATTCGAATGCAGTTACCCGACAAGTTTGTTTTGCCGAATAAATTAATCTAACCAAAATTAAATTTAATTGTCAAAATCAAAATTTTGTGATAGAAAATTTTTAAAATGATTTTATTCTATGGTTGAATATTAAAATTTGATTTTGTAATTAATTATAAAATAATTTAATACATTTAATAATTATAATTGCATTCAAATGAGAATATTATCCCGGAATGAGTCATATTGATTCAATTTTTTGATTCTTCATCTTTAATTGTTCGTTCAAGTTGTCTTTTTTTTACATTCCATATATTTTTAAGTCCATTTAATGAGCGAAATTTTCCAAATTCTTTTTCTATTTCAGGTTGTAAAAATTTCCATTGTATGTTGCCACCATTTGATTTTTGATGGTTTTCAACCCATTTATAAATGTATTCTTTCTCGTCACGAGTGAAAGGTTCGTGGTCAACTAAATAAAAAACGTTAATTTAAACGTAATTTTTTTTAAAAAAAAAGATAAAACAGTTAATTTAGACGTAATTTCTTTTTTTTTTTAAAAAAAAAGATAAAAAAAATATTGTAAACTCACGATGTGGATCAAGCATATTCCACCAACTATATTATAAAATTATTTTTAGTTTATTTTATGAAAAAGAATCTTTTCTAACAAAAACAGCTTCAGTCGTTAATAACTTACTAATTACAAATTGCTTTTGGTTCATAACGATTCTTTAATTGTTTGCTTAACTGTACGAAAGGATTTTTAGGATTTTTTCCGCGTTTATTCCATTCTTTCATATAATTTATAATAATTTTCTTGTCCTAAATAAAAGAAAAAAAAATTCAATATGAGAAAAAAAAAATAAATAATTAAATAAATTCGATTAATATAATACGAATAAATTAATTTGTCGTACGTCTGAATTTATAGTTTTGTTTATGTTATTCCTTCTCTCTATTTTCTTCATTTTGTGATAAAAAAAATGTTTTAGTTGTTACTCTTCGTTTGAAAAAATTTATTCATTCAATTTATATTTAAATTTGTATTCGCGTTGCGTCAGTTAGTATAACATTATTAGATTCAACTAATAATTATAATGCTATGCAGATAGTTGCATGATTTAAACTGACAAATATAAATAAATAAATGTATGCATTAATGCAACATATACATTAAAAAGTGCAGCATGACCTTTTGATTGTCTTTAAGCTTTTTTTGATTGTATTAAATTTTTAAAAAAGCATTTATTTTTGCCAAAATTTTCTCAAAGGAAATAATAAATAAGATAAGAAAAACAAAATGGAATTTCTCATCCTTTAATATAAATAAATAAGTAAATGTGAATGAAAAAAATGATGAACAAATTAAAAGATATATGAATGTATTTTTATATATAAATGCAGTCAGTATAATTACATATAACTTTGTCTTATCAAATTTAAAGGTACGTTATTTTTTTTTCATTTATTATATGGAGAAAAAAGGCCAATGAAGTGCCGATTATACTATTTTATTTGCATATTCTAGAAAATTTTCTCATTATAGTTACAAAAATGCTTTAGCCTTTTTTTATTGTTAATAATGAACTTTGTTCATGAGTATCGAGAAAAAAGTTGATCACGTAAAACATCTGCAATGTATATTATTCCTAAAATCAAATGTGTATTTTTAATTTACAAATGAAAAAAATTCTTATACAATCGGTTATTACGTACATTATACTAAAAATAATCGAATTTGCTAGAAACATCATATTTGAACGACTTTTGTATAAATAAAAAGCACCTATTATATCTACAAAATAGAACATTTAGAAATGATCGACAGAACACAGATCGTGGGTGCTAAAAAACGTAAAAAACGGAATTCTGAATCAATTTCACGACCGGGAAGGCGCAATCACTTGCTTTAAATAGTAAATTCATATTATTTTTAAATTAACTACTAATTTTTATAAATTCTTTTATTCTTAAAATTAATTTGAGATGATCCTATAATAATGCAATAGAAAAATCCATTTGTCGCTCTTAATGGGTTGATTAAACTTTTAGTTATTTATTGATTAGGCTCCTTTTTTCTGAAAATCAGTATATAATAATGAAATATAGTTAGTAATGATAGTCTTTTTTTTTCACATGTAATAAAATCATTTTTATTTTTGTTTGTTCATCTCGGATTTGTTATATTAAATCGGAGAGTTAAATTTTATTTATAGTTAATAAACAATACTTTTATATTCATTGATTTGTTCTATTTTTGGTTATAATTATTATTGTAACAAATCTGAAACTAAAAGAACAAAGAAGTATCGGTACAAATCATTTTCTTACCAAATATGAAAAAAATTTCAATATCTAAGTTGTTTGCTTTCTAACAAAAACTTTGTGATAGAACAAATTTATACAAAAGCGAGAAAAAAGTGAAAATATTAACGATTTATTATAATTATATCGTTATTAATCTGCTTAAAATATTGAGAAGAACGAGTATACTAATTCCGTTATTTAACGGCGGGGAGGCTTAATGTTTGTCGTGTTTAATGGAAGGTCCAATTAGAAGAGTGGATCTTACTAGTGTCGCAACTTCAAAATCATACTACATCAGTTTATCTTAGTCATCCTTCAGTAGTATATCTTTCATTACTGAACGCTCCAAATGTTTTCGAGACCGTTAACGCAAACGATATTTCAATTATAAAATGTCATCAGCCAAAAAGCCAGAGCTTTAAAATAGCAATATATTCTCTTGAATAAGGTCCTTATATTTTCTTTAAGTAATTACCCTTCAGTTTAATAAAAAAAGGAATATATGAAAAAAAAAGAAAGAGATAATTTTCCTCGAATATAATTATGATCACGTGATTATTCTATTTTCGACTTTTCGTCGATATGTTTCAGGTTTGGTTCGTCTGTCTGGGTATTTTTACGATAGTCAGGGGAACCAGTAGTTCTTTTCAGTTTGTAATTCTTTTGTATCAATGGTTTTACTGTTTATTTAATGAAATTGACTTATAATCTTAGTGCAAAAAAAAACTAAGAACTTTAGTTTGTAAATTAAGGTACACGAGAATAATACACACGTAATCAGTTTGTTCTTGGCACAAAGTTTATAAAACAAAAGTTATATCATATGGGCCGATTGGAAAAATAAAGCCAATTAATATTTAAGTTCAGTTGATGGGTTCATTAATAACTGATGGGTTACTTATTGTCATTAGCATATAAAATTACAGGGGGCTTTTCTGATCAGCCGATATGTAAAATCATATTCAATACGTAATATTGATCGGGAATGAGGTTTTCATCAAAGAAAACTTAATAAAGTAATTTCCGCTAGATGTCGTGGCCAATTTTCATCCAATCGCAAATTATTACACAGCCTCTATGATTTATTTGTAAAAAATAAATAAGTTTTCAACGTAAAAAAATATATTATTTTGAAATTTCTCTTTCAAATTTCTCTTTCATTTAAAAAAAAAAATTCTTCTTATTTATTTTATGAAATATGAATTCAAATAATAATACTACACAAGTCAATGCATACTTTTAACACTTTGATATTAAAACTTTTAATACTGCGACTTATGTACCTCAAAACACTACATATGAATTTTATTCCATATGTATCGTTTTACATATCCCGTATTACATCTAAATAATGATTTAAATCTATCTTAGTTGATTTGTAGACTACACAACACAGTAATGAGCCAGGATTAAACTCTTAACTTTGTTCCAATGTGAATTATATTCGTGGTATACTCAATTCCAGGGTATTGATCATCAATCTGTGCGATGATGCAATAACAGATAAGAACCGATCACAAATAAAAAAAGGCGTTTACGCTAATCGCTGGTCCAATAGATCGTATATATAAAAGTTTTTTTGGTTGTGAACTAGGCTGACAATTTTCATCGAAGCTGAACGACAATTGTTTCGGTAATAATTTCTGAGGTACATAACAAGCAAGCCCGAACTCAAATTTGACGATTATTTATTTATATTTATATTAAAATAAGATAATTTTTTTATTAATATTAATCAAGGTTGACTATTTGAGAACAATTGCCCTATGAAAAAAGCCTGTGTGATTTTTGTTGAAAAAACATCCAATTAAATTCACTATGATTTCTGTATATTTGACCATACAATAATTGTGCTAAAAATTGCAATAAATCACACAATAGTTGTATGGCAATCATACAATAATCATCCAATTTATGACCTGATTTTATATAATTATTGTCTAATTTTTGAGCCAAATTTTGGGCCGAATTTTAGGAATTATTCTGGGCCGAATTTAGAAATTATTGTGAGCCGAATTTTAGGAATTATTAGGAATTATTATGGCCGAATTTAGGAATTATTGTGGGCCGAATTATTAAGAATTATTATGGCAAATTTAGGAATTATTGTAAGCCGAATTTAGGAATTATTGTGGGCCGAATTTTAGGAATTATGATTACAGTAAGTTAAAATTTGGTCAGTAACGATTAACGACAAGCAAATTTATAAAGTGAAATTATGGATTTTTATTAATTTAATATACAAAATAAAACACTATATTTGATATGAATTATAAATGTAGAAAACTATAAAAAAATATAAATATATATATATAATAATTCATAAATAATATACTATCGCTGTATTAGATATAAACTATAAATTAAAACTATAAATGTATAAAGAAAATAAAATCAAATATTAAAGAAAGTAAAGTAAATTATTGGTATAAGTAAATTATTAATATTAAAAATAAAAAAGTATGAAGTTAGTAAAGAAAGCAAAATTAGAATTAGTAAGTAGTATGGAAAGTAAATTGTTAGCATTTGTTAGCGTTAGTAATAATAAAAAAAAAGAAAGTAAAATAAATTATTGTAAGTAAATTATTAATATTAAAAATAAAAAAGTATGAAGTTAATAAAGAAAGCAAATTAGTAAGTAGTATGGAAAGTAATTGTTAGCGTTTGTTAGCGTTAGTAATAATAAAAAAAAGTATAAAGTTAGTGAAAAAAGCAAGTTAGTAATTGAAATGTAAAAAAGTTAGAAAATAAATAAAAGGATAAAAAAAAATAAATTTTCTTACCGAAAAGAAAGTTTGAAGAAAAAAAGTTTGAAGAAAAGAAAGTTTGAAGAAAAGAAAGTTTGAAGAAAAAAAGTTTGAAGAAAAAAAAGGTTAAAAAAAATAAACAAATATTTTCTGCGTAGTGAAAAAAGTAAGTTAGTAATGTAAAAAAGTTAAAAAATAAATTCTGCGTAGTGAAAAAAGTAAGTTAGTAATGTAAAAAAGTTAAAAAATAAATAAACGAAAAGAAAAGTTTGAAGAAAAAAGAAAAAAAGTTTGAAGAAATAAAAAAATAAACAAATATTTTCTGCGTTATATTTATTATTTATTTTGATGATCAGATCACGTGGTATAATATAATTTAATTTTAATTGGACGATCAGATCACGTGTATTATATACATAATTTTAATTGGACAATTTCTTTTATTTTCCAAACTAACCGGATAAGTAGTGACACAAAATTTTAACTAACGAAAAATGAACTTTTAAACTTTAATTTTGTATTAGTTACAAAATTTCATTACAAAAGCAATACGACAACACAAAAATTTACTTTATTTAAAATATATATGCATATTATGTATGTTATCTCTAATTTATGAAATAAAATAAAATATTAGTATTTGTAACTAATTAATTTCAAATTAAATAACTTACTTTATTATTTTCGTTATAATCTAAAATAAAAATAAAAATTAATTGATTATTATAAAAAATTTTTTGTAATATAAAATGAAAAAATAAATATTAATTATTACCTTTTCGCGGTTGATTGGAAATCCGCCCAGATTTTTTTCTTTCATTTTTTTTCTTCCCGCTCTTTTCGCTGGCATTTGTATTGCCAACGTCTGTACTATTATCATTTTTTTTCTTTCCGCTCTTTCCGCTGACATTTGTATTGGTAT